CATGCATCCCTTTCACCAATTGCTAGACGCCGTCCATAAATATGCATTTATTTAAATCTAGATTGTTTTCTAATGTATTTTACAAATTAAATCAAGAAAATGTATAGAAAGCATTAATAAATCCAAAACTTTAATAAAAGTAGCATTTTGTATCCGTAAAATACAATTAAGCATTTAACAGGTAAAACAAAGGCTGACCGTATTCCCCCTGAAACTGTAAATGCCCCCCCCCAACGGTTGAGAACTCTTGGTAGAGACGTTCGGGCCAGATTTTTCGTTTATCTATCCATGGTTATCAAAAAGTGTAGTTGGTTGTTTCATTTGGCATGCTTTGTAGATCCAAAATTTTACTTTCGATTCCATGGCTGTATAAGTAAAACTATTGGATTAATATGGGGAAAAGTTTTTCTGCAGCATAATTGCTACCATATATTGCAGCTGAGCAATATTCCCGGTTTACTTCTAGCGCATTTTAGGTTATTAGTAGTATCTGAATTATCAAACGAATCTCTTAATAGTATTTTTCATTCACTCAATTAAAGCTAACCATCAATCAAGAGAAATCAAGAGCTATAATATGTTTCCGAATCCTCACAAAAATTTCAAGACTTTCCAGTTTCACTTTAGAAGGTAAAAGAATAAAAATACTGGACAAAGTAAAATACCTAGATCTCATAATTGACCCCCCCCGAAAAAAAAAAACTTAATTCCATTGAGCACCTGAAGTACGGACGGGCAACGCAGCATCAAGCATCGCAAATAACTTGAGAAAGGTTGAAGGAAGCATTTGGGGATTCAACCTTATTTTCAAAAGATTTATCATATGGTAATCGAAAGAATCGTCCTATGCAGATCAGAAATTAAGGACCATCCCAAGACAGTTATAATAAAAGCAGTTGCAGGCAATTCAACTACCATTCTTGCTACGTATCGCTAAATACTATCGCACGACCACTAACGCAGCATTATACATATTAGCAGAAATACCCCTGCTCCATATAACAGCTCAAATTGAATTCGTAAAGGGAGCAGTGCTCTTATTGAAGAAAAGTTGCCTGTAACAAGATCAGCACTTAGTTCCATACAATCATGATTCCTCTTCCATTCAAACATAAGACACACAGCAATGAATAACGACATTTACTTCCGTAGGCCTGAAATGATAGACCATAACAGACTGCAATGTATATATATATATATATATATATCTACGGATGGGCCAAAAATAGAAACGGATTTGGAAGCGCTAGAATCATCTTCATTGCTCACCGAAACAAAGTGGTCTTCAAAAGCCGCCCGGCATCAGAAAACAGAATTTTTTAAGCAAAACTATATGCCGTTAAACAAGCATTCTCTCTCTAATGTGATCTAAGAAACATATAGATACGTACAGATTGCCAATTAGCAATACTCACTGTCACGAATATAAAATATAAATTTGGAATAATTCAAGACATCCGAAACATTACAGCATCCCACCCTGAGCTCCTTTGATTACTAGGGTGAAGGCTCGTATAAGCATTGAAGAGAATTAAGAAGCGGGCAGATTGGCAATCTCCACCGAGAAAGCAACTTCCATAAACATTCCTTGGTGGAAATCGAATAAAATGCAATTTGAAACGAATTCAAGAAGTAATGTGGCCTCAGGAATTGATCAGTATGGACACAGAAAGACACTTTTTCAACTCCCTCCCAGAAATCAGCATCGAATTATCTAGTTTAAGTCATTTGATAAACTGTTTTATAACAGGCTATGCATTCCAGTTTAGTTGTGAATGCTAGGGTTTTGTAGGTAACGTGTTCAGTGAGTAAACAATGGAGTAACAAATGTCTGGAGTGGTGGGATGTGTGTGTGTGGTGGGGGGGGTCTCTCCCTCCATATTTGCCACTTTCCGAGCTTCGGAGTTTAAATCGCAGGGCGCAGCTTATAATTTTATACACATATGCAATTGTGTATAAAATTATAAGCTTAATTGTTTAATATTACCATTATTTCTAATGTTTGTTTCATTTGCAACTGTTCTTTTCTTGTTCAAAAACCATAAAAATCAGTTAATATTATTTCTGATTGAATTGCTCATTTCCTTTTTATTTCAGGTTATCCAAAGAAGAGGTAATTTCTTAAGACCAAAGGATTATTTTTATCAAGACTGGAAAGCCTATAAAAATGGATTCGGTAACATCGAAGAAGACTTCTGGCTCGGTAAGCTTCCCTTTATTTGCTTTCTTTTTCTTCTTTTTCTTTTTTTTTAAATATTACTTGTATATTCTGACATAACTAGCTTTTGTGCACTTAACTGTAAAATATACCATCTAACTTAATATAATGCTCAGAAGCTTCAAAAGCTTAAAACTTGCAATGAAAGCTTTCATTTTGAAGTTCAGAAACAAATTTTAGCGATTCAATAATCTCAGTTCGCGATACAGTGATTTAAACTCACAATAAAGGTTTCTTAAATAGAAATGTTTGTGAATTTTGTTTTTCATATTATTCTAAAATCTTTCAAAATATTTAATATAAAAAAACAGGTGAATTTCAAAATCCTCTTAGGCTGATACGCATTTTTTTAAAAATTCAAATTATTTTTAGAACCAAAGAATTTTTAAATGAAGTATTTTATGCCTACGCTGCTATGGATATCTTTGATAGGCTTAGGTTAGGTTAATTGATCAAAGCAAAGCAACTCGAGGGCTATCTGCCTTTGGCAAGAGATGCTTTCGTGAAGATTTTTTAAGGGAAACTGACTTGTATCCCATGCTACGCTTAGAAAAAAGCACGAAAATTTCCATGTAACTAACCCATTTATCATGATTTGAAAATGAATCGAACAATCAGCGTTCAGCGAATTAAAATATCTGATATGGACGCCATATGACATGGCTTCTTGTACGGCTTATTAAATCATACACATTTTTGCTGCATTTCATTTAAACTTGTTTCCTCGAATTTCTCTCACTTCGCGGCAAGGCTTCGCGGCAAGACTTAGACAGAAAATATCTTCATTAGAAACTGCAAAATACAGAAAAACATAAAAGACCAAATACAAAAACAGCTAAAATTCTAATTTTAAATAAAAAAAAATTAATTTTTTTTTCTTTTTATTTAAAATTAGAGTTTCTACGCAGAAACAAGCAATTCAACCAGCGTCAAGGAAGACAAAATTTTCGGTGCACAAAACTGAAAATTTGCTTTTCGTCCCAGTTGGCAAAAGGGCAGTCGGTGCAGAAATTGACTTAATTCACTATTACAGTAATAGTTTCAAATGTAAACAAATGGCGGCTTCGTTTCGCTTTAAAATTTAAAATTTTGACAATTCTACAACTAATTCAGAAGTCTTCATTTGCGGTTTTGCAGCTGAAGATGATGGTTCGGTAAAACCACAAACAGTCTGTGAAATTTTGTAAATATAACGCTGATTTTTGTTGTTTGACTTCTGAATTAGTATTTATTCGGCGTGTTATTGTGTTTTAATTCTACAACTGTTGCATGAAGATTAATTAGGGATATAAAACTTAACCAGAAAATAAGACCAACATAATTGTTACATTTAAAGCCAAAAATGCGTAATTTACCAACATATAAGAAGGAAAAAAACTAAGCTCACCGATCTGGGTAATAGAATAGGTATATATATATATATGTATATGTGTATATATATATATAGATAGATAGATAGATATACATATATATAGTTATATACTTTTGACGCGGTCGATTGCAACCAAAAAGGGATGTGCACAACTACACGTTATAGCAGTCCCATATACAAAATCAAAATTTCGACGTTCTGAGGCTAATCGATTTTGAGTTATGCAAGATATGTACATAATAAGTACGTATGTACAGACGTTATGAAAAAAATCTCTTCTAAATCCGTTTAAAATCCAGTTTACAATGCGTTTTAGAAAAATGAGTCCTTTATTCTGTCCACACGTACATTGATATGGATATGGTGAAGTGTGGTGGATACCCATTGTTTAACCATTGGCAATGTGGTTGTTCTCCAGGCACACTAGTTATCCAGGTAATTACACCCCATAGGGTTCACAGGAGACCCTGCCAGGCGTTGTTTGCAATACTTTGTATTTTACCTAACCGCGGGCAGTGCCTTTCTTTTTCCATTAAATATACATTGATATTTTCACAGTTGGTGCCTTTCGCACTTACATGCTATGGAGGACAGCTCCAGGTCTGCTTACATACAATGTTTTAAGTAATATCTTTGTTATGTTATTCTAAGCTGTGTTGCATAGCTCAGTGCCTCTTGTGCACAGGAAGTTCATTATATTTATGATTTTTTTTCTGACATGGTTGTTCTTTTGGTAGCGTATCTTATAAAAGGAGTCATTTCACTTACTGAATTCGGGACTTTTAGATGATGTTCAGCTGTGAGGGAGCATTTAAATAAATAATGTTCGGGACTGCCTCTTTCTCCACATACACACTGGTCTGATGTAGCTAAATTCCTTGCGTAAACGTACGTGGGAAAAGGGCCATGCCCTGATCAGAACCACGTTATTTCTCTTGTTATTAAACTGGGTGCTGTGCCTACTTTTGGGAACAATTTGATAAGTCCTTCTTCCTTGTTCGTCATTGTCCCACCAGTTCTGCCATTCAGCTTTAGATTTGTTGCTTATGATTTTTTTAAGGTGCGAGGCCAGACCATGGTGCTGATAAATTGTGCGTTTTAACCCTAGCTCTTCTTTGGATAGGAGTCAGCTCCTCTTGCTTGTCCTGCATTGCCTTCAGCCAAACAAAATGTTGAGATTTTGTGGTGCTGAAGTTTTTTTGTAATCTCTTGGAATTAATTTTGATTTGGTGGTGCGGGTTGCATTGGCATGGCATATCGATGAAAGACTGTCTGAAAGATATATGTTTTTAGGAAGTTTGTGATGCGTTTATTGCTTGAAAGAATCGCTACTGATCCGATTGGGATATACTATTTTGTTGTGATCTAGGGAACTTCTGTTTGTATCGAATGGATCTAGTAGATTTTAATTGCGCGCTTTACCTTTCTAACGGGAACGGAAAAGTTGGGGAATTTCTTTTTCGTTTACTTATTTTTTCATGCTTAATGTGATATTATTTTTATTCCTGGTGGTGCTCATATGGTGGGCCGGTGGTATTCTCTGCTAAAGCTGTAATGATTTGTAATGGCTTTTCTTTCATAGTTGTAGCACTGTTGTCTTATGTGCTGTTAGCGATTTGGAAGAGGGCCGCATTTGATGTTGTTCTATAGCTTCCTGTGTAGTTGAGAAGGAAGGGTGGCTGGATTGTATGAAGCTTTTTTTGCTTTCTTTTTGTCATTGTTTCTGTACATATGGCTGCCCTTATAGGGCAATCTTCTTGATTACTGTATGGTAGATGAGGTTTTGGATTGGTCTGCTCATTTCCCTCTACGTTGGAACGGAGGCGGAGAAGTTTTCCTTCTTAACAATATATTGTTGCGTTTTTCTTTTCTGACACTAGCTGTTACGTTTTTCTCCTCACGTTCGACGCGCGGGTAGTGTGGATTTGGCATGAATAACGACGACACGTGAAGATTCGAAAACAATTGGAGCCGGTATTAATCTCCAGCTCAAAGTTACGTTTTACAGTCATCGAAGATCTACTATAAACACGCTGACACAATCAGTGACACATCTTTCAGGTTATCAAGCTATCAGGGTAGAGACAACTTCACTGCAAAGCACCAGAGTACAGCTCCCGACTCTGCTGGGTCGTTCTCGGAATTCCACGTACTCTCGAGACTCTCCAGGTTACACCTCGCGATGTACTCGACGACGAACAGAGCACAGCTTCCGGCTCCTCTGTTCAGTCGTTCCCGGAGCTCAACACGCTCTGACGACGATGCACTAATCGCGATATTCGAAGACATTCTTTCGATGCACTCGACGACCACTTGACGCTTGCTGCCCGGCTGTCAACTCGATTGACTCAGCACGGACTGACTCGCTAAACGAGACACACTCTCGATACTACTAACTCTCCGCGTATCAGCAGGGTTTATATAGCTTTTCGCTGGTGTTCGAGAACATTCTGTGCTAAACCAGTAAGAATTCGTTCCAAAAGGTTCTCCATCCGTCCATGGCATATCGCCAATTTTGTCGCCAAATATCGCCAAATGGGCTATTTTGCGGCAAATGTGGCAACCTTTCTTTTTGTTGCCATTTTATGGCAACCCTAAAACTGCTTTGTGGGGAAGCCATCTTACCGTGCCTGTACATTTCGTAACAATATGTATATTCTTTGTCCTGTCTAACCTTATGAATCCTGTAGCACGGTTTAGTGAAGCAATGTCTTTACGTCTATAAAGCTCATCTCTAAACGCTTAGTTGTTGAGAAAAGCTAAGATATAATAGTTATAGATGTCACGGGGAAAAAAATCGTTGAAATGGATTCAGCCGCGGTTAAAATGGATGTTTTCTTTGAAATACGACACCCGACATTTTTCGCGATTACAATACTTCCTTTACTTCGTACAAGGAAGTAATTAGATTTCGCATTTTTTTAAAGATTAATTTTTTTAAATTTAAAAATTAGGACAGATTTATATTCAAGTCATTTAAAATACTTTTAATCCTGGAAATAATCAGATTTATGACCAGTTGTTGCGAAAACAAAAGCTCCATTAGAACTTTTGTGGAGACGATGTGTAACAGGTTGAAAAGAATCTTCTTTCTCTTTACAGGCAACGACAATATATATTCGCTGACGAATCAAAAACTGTATTCCGTCAGGATTGATCTGCAAGATGTTGAAGGGAACAAACGTTATGCTTTCTATGATAAATTCTGGATCGAAGATGAAGATCGCAAGTATACTTTACATATTGACAGTTACTGTGGAGACGCAGGTAAGAACCAGTCATTTTTAAACTGAAAATGTAGCTTATGTTGATATAAATCCCCAAATTTAATTTATTCAGATGAATATTTTTATAGCATAAGAAAATGGCTGTGGTTACTGAGCACTCAATCTCATCACAGCAAAGAAGAGCATATTTTTCAATTCCCTTATTTCTGTTTTTAAATTTCTTGGATTCAAAAAAGAAAAAAAAATCTATATTGGGCACTACATGACTTCCTTGTACGGCCTATTCAATTATAAATATTTTTTGCTGCATTTCGTTTAAATTTATCTCCTTAAATATCATCAGAGGTATATTTCTCATTCAATCAATTCAGTTCTCACTTTCTGGCAAGGCAAAAATGCATAAATACTCAAAACATCTTCATTAAAAACTAAAATAAAGAAAAAACTAAAATACCAAATACAGGCAAAAACAGTTAAAAAACAATTTTTACAATTAAAATTTGAGTTTGTACGCAAAAACAAGCATTTCAGCCAACGAGCAGGAAGACAAAGTTTTCGATGCACAAAACTAAAAGTTAAATTTTGTTCTTACTCGAAAAAAGACTCTGAAGTTGGTGCACAAACTGACTAAATCACTATCCTAATAAGAGTTTGAAATCTCAACAAATGGCTGCCTCACTAGGTCTAGCATCGGTTAAACTTTTAAATTGTTGATAATTCTACAACTATTGCATGCAGATTAACGAAAGGCATATAAACATTAATCGGAACATGATGATTTTGTAGCAGTTACCCCCTTTTTGCTACAAAAGACACGAATATGCATCTATCATAGAATGTGCCAAAAATTCTGTTATTCATATAAAGTAACAAATGTTTAAGCATAGGAAAGATATAAGGGTAAACCCTACGGAGGATCAAATTCAGTCTCAACAGACTGTACGAAAAGAAGGGTATAAGAAAATGACTGTGAACGCCTGTTGTTTAAATATTGAGAGTGATGGCTACTTTATCCAGATCATGACTTAATCAACTGCGACATTTTAACCCCAGAATATTAGCCGTTATTAATCATTTTTTCATCAAGACGATCGTTTTTCTGAGACAATTTTTCTTACTTTGTTTCAAAACGAACCTTTCTCGTGACATTTTGGAATGCATAGTATTTGACAAAATATTGGTCTAATATTTTAATCCCGAAGAAGGAATGGTTATTCATAAGTATTTATGTTTAAAGAAGGAATGACTATTTATTAGTTACGACCACTTCAGATCAGGTAGCATTTCAGATCTGTCAAATTGAATCTTCTCTACTAGTTGGTAATAAGGAGAAGAGGTACGAGAACTGCGGTTTCCTTGCTCTGATTAAAATGAGGTTGGAACCTGGCATAAACTCGGTTCGTTACTTCATACGTCCAAGAAGACGAGATTTTTGTTCAATGACAAATAATTCCGACCCCATTCGTGATAACTCATGAGATCATTCCAGGTGCTAAGCACAGTTTCTTTGTTGTTTCCATACAAAGACTAAAATGACTGTTATAACGTCCAGAAGGACCAAAACAGCAAATGGACGGCAGCTAATAAAAAATTTATACAGCAGTTATTCCTCACAGACTAAAAAAGTTTAAAAGAACTTTCAGCGTTTTAGAACTTTAAGCTATTACAGACAAAGCCTACCAAGATTAGCGATGTGGCAAATGATGGTACTAGAAATGAGCTCATTTCCAAGGAAATTCTCTTAAAAAATTTAGGGATCATAAAACCACCACTTTCCCTTGCTCTTCGAATTGTCAAACAGCAGTTACATTATGATATTTATAATATGATATCTATGTTATTGGAGAAGCTAAGCATCAAGAATCAGCATAATATTTGTAAATCTTGCAATACTAGTTGCGATGATTTAAATCAAAAACTGTATTCCGTCAGGATTGATCTGCAAGATGTTGAAGGGAACAAACGTTATGCTTTCTATGATAAATTCTGGATCGAAGATGAAGATCGCAAGTATACTTTACATATTGACAGTTACTGTTCAGATTACTAATTCAGAAGTCAAACAACAAAAATCAGCGTTATATTTTCAAATTTTCATAGGACTAGTTTCGATGGTTTAACTCGAAACTAGTCCTATGAAAATTTGAAAATATAACGCTGAATTTTGTTGTTTGACTTTTGAATTAGTATTTGTTCGGCGTGTTATTATGTCTTAATTACAGAACCATCTTCTTCAGCTTAACGCTGATTCGTCTTGCTTAACTTCTTCGAAAATCGTTATTTGGCGCGTTATTTTAACTAAATAATATGTATGTTGTTTTACTTGTGCATTTAAATTAATATTAATATGTGTTTATAATTCTTATCTATATTTCTTTCAAGCAAAATAAAAACAGTTATGATTTATTGCTGTTGGCGTATTGCTATATTGCTAATATTTGGTGCGAAAATGAAGATTTATCATATACTTTAACTGCATCTTGTTAAATTAACTGCATCGATATAACCTAAAGGCGCTACAAGCTATTGAAAATGCGCACAATTTCACTAAACGATATTAGTGAGACGAATTTTAAACTATGAATATTCATAATTACTACAAAACTACATTCTAGATAGCAGCTACTAATGTAATTAGAACTTGTGTGCAAAATATATTACTTGTACCAAACTAAATCACCGGATTTGCAGCTACGTCTATAGAAATTAGTAAATTTTGTAACAAGCAGTATAAAATTAATTAGGTATAATAACGTAATAATCTTCAATTTTAGGTGATTCGATGATAGTTATACATAATAACCAAAAATTTAGCACAAAGGACCAAGATAATGACAACGAGAAGACTCAGAATTGTGCCCAGATATACAAAGGTGGATGGTGGTACAACGCTTGCCATTCTGCAAATCTTAATGGTCTCTATCTCAGAGGCAAGCATGAATCTTACGCAGATGGAGTCACCTGGAGTGCTTGGAAGGGTCAGCGCGAATCTATGGATACAGTCGAAATTAAAATAAGATCGAAGAATTTCCGTAAATCGCTTGTTGATGTTGATTACATAACATGCTGTTAAACTTATTTGTTAAAAATAAAACATTATTATATGTTTCCTTCATTTCTTTGACAATGAAAACTCTAAAACACTAGTAAGCATACGAGCTACTTTAAACCTTTAATCATTTAACAGGCACGACCTTTTTTAATAGCGCTTCTGCTAAAAATTAAAATCGACACCAGCCAAAGTTGGGCTGATTTCTTACATTTAATATACAATTTGTTTTAAACAAATCTTCTTAATTGCTGGTACTACGCCACTTTCTTCCGAGTGGTATCAGTAAAATGTATTAGGAGACACTATTTCTCTGTTAGAAGAGGAATTTAGATAAGTAAACAGATTAAAACAATGCTTTTATTCCAAGCACTTTCGAATCAAAATACGATATGTTTTCTATTAAGACAAAACGCTAAGAAGATTTTCCTATTAAAGCTATGCTGTTCAACGAAAATTACCATTGAAATTCTATTTTTTTGCAGGGTCATCCTTTTCAAAATTTTACTTGCTAGGAAAGTTTTGTTGCCAGTAATTTGTTGGAGCATTCTTGGACCTACGTGTCTGGAAGTGCATAGTACAATCGGCAGGTTTTGGCCAGACAACTTTATTTTTTGTCTTTTCTAGCCGTACTGAAAAACGCTTTTTCCTGAGCCTAGTTGAAGATGCAGCTGGGTAGTTCCAGTTTTAAGATAAATCCTTTGCTATGGTTTTACACATTTCGCTACTTCCACATTATAATCTAAACTTGTTCCACAACCATTTCTTTATTATATTGACTTTTAATGTTGCTTTATACTGAATAAAACAGATAGCGTGAAATCGACAGATGAAGAACACGTAGTTTAATTCGGAGATTGAGGTCTGATAAAAATGCTGTGTACCGAAAATTTTAAACAATCGCTTATGTTCTCTTTTTACGCCTAATCTTAAAATCTCTGTTATGAAATATTACGCTAACAACGAATTTTCAAAATATGAAATTACTTTGTACATACATTCTTCCAGGCTAGCAAGTATACTGTCTAGCAATAAGTATTTGGACACCTGCGATAGAAAATAAGAACAATATTTCTTCATATTCAATAGCTGGTAGAGCCTCCACGAACGGCAACTACAACCTGAACCCTCCAGGGCATGCTTTGCTCGAGTACTTGTATGACGGTTATTGGTATTTTCTTCTACTTAGCTTGGAGAAGACATATAAATTCTTTCATCAATGTTTGGACGGTTGTTATACCCCTTAATTCGGCTATCACGTTCCGCAGGTTCTCAATAGGATTCAGGTCTAGACCAGTCCATTCAGTTAACCACATTGTCACCATAACAATACACGGTGGACTTCCCAGCATGACAGCTGGGTTTGTGGTTTTGAAAGTAACATGGGTCCAACACGTAAAATTGTCACAACGTAAGAAGTACATTGTCATCCAAAATAGTGCACTAGGCATCGGCGTACAGTTTACCACGAATTTGGACCAAGGGACCAAGTTCATTCCAGAAAACGTACACCCAGATCATAATTTCATCTTTGCCGAATTTATTCTATAGCCACAATGCATTCTGTCAGCAGCCGTTCTTCAGGCAGACGCCACATCCAGACGCTGCTGTCTCAACGGTAGAGGCTGAACTTTGATTCGTCGTTCCAGACAATTTGTTTCCACTGATCTACGATCCACTGTCGACGGACTTTGAACCACTTTAAATAAGCAGCGTGGTTTGACTTTGTGATCAAAGGCTTATGGGCGGTAGCACGACCCTTAAAACCAAGCACTCCTGGAGTATGTCGGCCATCGGTTGGATGCCGGTTTTCCGAATTTCTCTGGAGAGTACCCGAGATTCGGTCTCTATTTCCCAGCTTCTTGGATCTGCGGACTTAGGGCCCATTTTGATAACCACTGCTCACCTTCCACTTCTGAATCGCATAGGCCATTGTGGAGTTTCGTAAATCATTTTACTACATATGATCCTCAAGGATCGGTCATTTCTATGATGCCCGACGATTAACGATTACACCTTTCTTGAAATCAGATAACTCTACATTTTAGGGCATCTTGCATGCCGCTGATACCAATGTTGTTTTCCACACGGAATGTACCGGCGGAGGGCGTGACGTATATCAGGATCGCAGATATTGGCATTTGCATGCGTGTCCAAACACTTATTGGTAGATAGTGTAGTCCATCATAGTATTAATCCATTAGTAACTTCTGAAATACAAACTTTATTTTACATTATACACATAGTAAGTATAACAATAATTTTACAATTATTCACTTACAATTATTCATTCGCTTTTTTTCTTAAACGAAATATTAACGTTGTTTATACGCTGTGAGTCATCGCCCTCTGTCCAGCCCTTTCTGATTTCATGATAGTTTTCCTACCTTCAGTACGATGAAACTGTACTTAGTATCGCAAGGTCAAGTCTCTTCGGTTTTTATATTATACGACTACTTCTAAAGATAAATTGCGAAGATTTAATTTTTGATTTGTTTTGTGCAAGACTAAAACGATCTTTACTTTTGCTTGATTACCTATTTCTAAAAGGTCTTTTAATGTCACTGTTTCTTCGTTTCACTTGGACAGCATGTGTCATCTTTCCTTGGATACAGCTGCTCTGTTCTTTCTAACTGCCCGTCAATACACCTGATGTTTCTTCTATTATTATGTACTCCTTAATTTTAATAGCTTTTTTAGAGTTTTTAAAAGCTGACCTACGTATCAGTTCTAAATATCAACAATCATTTCTAAGTTTTTTACAATATTGGTAATGTTTATTCAGCTGTATTCTGTTTATGTGATCGAATTCAATTATAGAACCTTCTACATTGTCTTTCAAAAACAGATTTGAAGTAATTAAATCTTATATTTCTTCTGATATATATATCAAAGATCTTGAGCTTATGACATTTTCAACCTATATAATGAGTGATTCCCCATAATCCAGTATCGTTCCACGAAAGTACTCTTCAATATATTCTTTAAAATTGTAATCACTGTTTCCTACAATCCTTCCCATTCACAGAGAAGATAGATCAAAGATCCTCTGTAGAGGAATTGAATTTCCGTTTAATTTTCTTAATCCTGGTTTTTACCTATACTTCGTTCCAAATGATTTTCTTTAAAATTTATTGCTTCTTACGTGCTTAGTATTATATGAAAAATATAATACTTGGACATCCTTTCCCAAGCTGTGAATTCCATCTGACTTTATCTAAATGCTTATATGGTAGGAGAAGTAAGAATTTCATTGTGGATTGCCTGATAAACGGCGCTTTTAAACCATGATAAACGGCCATGTTTTCTTCTAGCTTTGAAAGTAAAAGGTCGGTTAAATCGATCCTTTAAGCTCCGGTTGAATCCACATCCGTAATCTGAAAATCTGCACAGTCTGTTACTCTTTGCTGTGCTAATGGTACTACTGAGTTTACATCAAAACTAGTTGCCAGAAAATGTAGACATCGACCAAAACTTTTTATTATAGGACGAATAGCACGATATAGCAATATACCAACAATTTGTGCTGCTCCGTTTGCAAGGCAGCTTCTTCCTTCTTACTAAGTGCCTTCATGCTGTAATGGGAAGCATGTCTGGCTAGCAAATGGGTTGCCCGGTGTTTGAAATCCGACGAAGGCACTGCACATTTTCCATGATTCTTAATTTGACAAGTAGCTCTGGAAATTTCTAATTTCATTCAATCTTTTAGAAATGAATGTAGCACAAACATTTCACAAAGAGCATTACTGGTTTTTTGCATCCCTACAGCCGATCGAGCGACATTGAGGCAAGCTAATAATTCTAAGTGAGTTATTGTTGTCACTTTTATTTGAGCTGCTCTGTACTAACTGGAGTTGGATGATTCGCTTCGGAAGTGATTCAAAGAACCGATTCACTTTACTGAGTGAATGAACAGAGATTTAGGAGAACACAGTTTTAGCTCTTTTACAGTTCACGGACAGCACTTGTTGGAAGTGTGCCAAGAATAGAGAGGAGCTATTTGTTCACGAATAAATTCAGTTTACCAAGTGTGCGAACGCCTGATTCGGAAAAAAAAAAAAAAAAAAAGAGCCGGGGCTTCTTTAGAGTTCATCCACCCAGAGCTCTTGTTAAAAGCCTGCCAGGAAAGTGTAATTCCCATTTTGGGAAATAAAGAAAGTTTATCCTCTGTTGTGTAGAGAATTTGTCTGATAGCGTTATAAAAACTAGGTGAATGATTTTCTGATTTATGGAAATCTTAATTTATTTGATTCTGAATTATTTATTTTAAGGCTTTAATTTTGGGGAAAACAGATGCTTCTGGGAATATATTTTATTTAAAAGATATTATTTATTTTCCTTTATTGCAAATTTTGTACAAGCTTTGATTCATTGTGAAAAGAAGCAGGGAAAGGGAAGCAATTTTTGCTAAGTCATGATTTCGCGCGCTTTGTCCTTAGAATGTTCTGAAGGAATTTCATTGTGTAGTGACCTTAGAGAGGAAGTAGTACAGAAAGGTCAAAGGTTGCTACTTGACTTTCGATGTAGGTCATTCAGGTTTTTGGCGATCGGAGGTCCAGGTTTTTAGGCTAAGTGAAGAAGGGCGCGCATGCACGTTCACCCTTATTTCTTCATTCAGGGGTTGAAACGCAAATTTTGTCCAAATTATGGGGGCGATAATTGAAGCCATTAGTGGGAGCCCGTTTTTGTGAAGGAGACGAAGGAAATTCGAGTTTGGAATCACTCTTACTGGCTGGGCTGAACTTACTCTTTGGACGTTACTTTTGAAACTTACTCTTGAAAACCGGATTGAAAGCGATAGACAAGATGTAATTTACGAAGAGAGAGGTTTCCCGCCGCGTTTGGGTTAAGAGCGAGGTTGAAGAGGTATGAATATCTGCTGAAAGATTTAAGACTTTCGGCTTACTCTTGGAAAAACTTTTTGGTGTTTTTTTTTTTTTTTTTTTTTTTTTTTTTTAAGAGGACTTGGAGACTTACTACTGACTCAGACTGACTTGATGAACTTACTTTTGGAGGTTACTCTTGAAACTCGCTTGAAAAGATGTAATTTACGAAAGAGAG